TGTTTCTTGTGAATTTGGTCTTAAATTTTTATTTCAAGTGGCATTAAAAAGTCTTGAATTTAACTTTCCTTATGCTGTAGTACCCTGTAACAATGGCAGCTATATTTGCTGTGATCAGTGGGTAAAAAGCAGTTTTAATATGATTTTCAGTAAGAAGGTCCACTTGAAAACATGGTCTGTGCAGTCAGTTCATGCAGATTACCATCCTGCCTTCAAATATTATTCCTCTGTGGGAGCCGCTCAGACCCCTACGTACTGGCGGTGCGCTGTCACTAGGAATCCTGTTTAACAGCAGCCTATGGCCCGGTCGCCTCCTCGCGGTTTGCCGTGGCGGCTGGAAGGCGTTATTAATGTACGTAATCCAAACTGCAGGCACCAGGAAAATGAAAGCGAACATGTTTTTCCAGCAGATTTGGGCATTTTTAGTTAATTTAGGCGTTAATAAACTGTTTCAGAGGAGTAATCACAGCGCTCTGCATCAGCAGTGCTGTGTCTGACTCCCTGCCAGCTCCCAGATCAGCGTCTCTGATTGGTTGATGTGGCACGTCCAGCAGCAAAAGTTAAATTTTTCAGCTGCTGTTGCTTCTGAACCGCGTAGCGCGTGTCAGATGCTCTAGACGCGCTGCAGGACCTTTAGCTGCACCTTGATGCGCGTCAACCATTGACTTTGCATGTAAACTAGCTGAACGTAGCATAAGGCGCAGGAGGCATAGGTTTAATTGCTTATGAATCAGAAGTGGAAGCAAATCATCAAACCAAGAACGCCGTTTTGTTAACTAAAAGTTAAACACAGAATTATTTGCAGAATTACACATAGGCTGCCATGACTTACTTATAAATCCTCTCCAGCTGTTGAAGGATGTAATCACAGACCAGTCATCTCGTTATAATGACAAAACGGCTTTCGTTATCTTGAGATAATGAGAAAATGAACTTGTTTTCTCTAGAAAACCACAGTGGAAAAGTACTGGAGGGACACGACGGCTCTCGGCTTCCGTACATGAGGTTCCACTGATTAAAAGTAATCCAGTGTATTTGTAATGAAAACATTCCATGATCAGAAAATCGCCACAAACAGTCAGTTTTTTACCATCAGAAAAGTTCAAGCTTTATAGCTAATGCTAACAGTCTTGCCCTATCTTCCACAAACATGTGAGGTTGATCTTGGGTATGTTTGTTTTCCTGATCTTCCAGCCTACAAAGCAAAAGTGTCCCCATCAATTCTGTTTTGAGATGTGACACAGGGACAGCCCTCAAACCATCACAAGCGCTCCCTCTCAGCCGACTTCTTTACACATTATTCTCCTCATATTAAGGCTCATAAAGTCCGCCTGCTATCGGTTAAGTCCACACGCAATGTTTGGCTCTCTAGCCAATGAAATAGCTATTAAAACAAGGATAAGCATGGCTAATTTGAATAGTGCTGCCCAGATGTATTGCCGGGCATAAACGGCACACAGATGGAAATCATCATAATTAGATGGAAAGTTAGAAAAATGAAAAAAATATTTTTGTCAAAAATGTTCTGTGGCCATCAAAATGCTTAAAGGAATAGTACACCCAAAACATGATTAGCCTTCATTTTCTACTCACCCCCATGCTGAACAACACTCTGGAGTACTTTTTTGATATCTCAAATGCATCTGGAGATCTGGGAGGCTTCTTGCTGTCTGCTGACATTCAAATAATGGAGGTCTATGGCGCCCGAGGCAGAAAGGTCCATAAAAGTCCACAAAAAACGTGTCAATATTCCTCCATACTGCTCGTCCAATGTATTCCAAGTGTCCTGAGTGGGTAGCGTCCAGAATTTACTCGAAACGAAGTCATTTAGAATGTTTTTAGAGCATAAACAGTAGTGTATAGGATTTCCTAAAAGCGCGTTCACGAGTCTACGGAAACCGCGGCAGACCAAACCAGATGAAAGTGCGCATTCAGCTCGGCAAAGAACTCATGCTCTTCCTCAACACTGAAGTCCTCAGACATTTTTCTTTCGTTGTTTCTTTCTTTGCACAGGTAAACAGCACATTTCTTCTTCTACTCTTGCATTATTGGCAGAGCAGACGCTGAATGCGCACTTTCATCTGGTTTGGTCTGCCGCGGTTTCCGTAGACTCGTGAACGTGCTTTCAGGAAATCCTATACACTACTGTTTATGCTCTAAAAACATTCTAAATGACTTCGTTTCGAGTAAATTATGGACGCTACCCACTCAGGACACTTGGAATACATTGGACGAGCAGTATGGAGGAATATTGACACGTTTTTTGTGGACTTTTATGGACCTTTCTGCCTCGGGCGCCATAGACCTCCATTATTTGAATGTCAGCAGACAGCAAGAAGCCTCCCAGATCTCCAGATGCATTTGAGATATCAAAAAAGTACTCCAGAGTGTTGTTCAGCATGGGGGTGAGTAGAAAATGAAGGCTAATCATGTTTTGGGTGTACTATTCCTTTAAGTGTGATTGTTGTCGTAAAATTGTTGTTTAAAAGCAATAAGCACCATTTGGAATGATTTGGCAAATCCGTAGAGGTTTGGAGATGCTGATGACTTCAGAAGGTAAAAAGTCCAATATCTCTAGAACTGTTATACCTAGAAGTCCCAAATGTTCTGCAGTTGTTGTTCACACAATTAAGAGTACATGTAAAACAATGGCACATGCCTATTGCCAAGCATGTCTTTGTTACTGCTATTTTAAATAAGACCTATTATTTTCGAGAAGGAAAAAAAAAAACATTAGTCATGTTTGAACCGATGCAGTTTAGGCTGGGTTTCAGTCACACTATTTTGATTTGTATTTTCAGAAACTAGAAGGCGTTAACTTCAAACGATGTGTCACACATGTAATTTGTATCTCTGCTTCCGTCTCCTTGAACCCCAGTGGGCCTCAGCAGATGGCCGCTCACACTGAGCCTGGTTCTGCTGGAGGTTTCTTCCTGTTAAAGGGGAGTTTTTCCTCTCCACTGTCGCTACAAGCATGCTTAGTGTGAGGAATTGCCTTTGAGTCATTTAGATAGGATAGAAAATGGATAGAAAACTTTAAATCAATCTGACTGGATGATCTGGGAAATGTAAAATGCCCTGAGATGACATTGAATTGAACTAATTTGGGCTTGTAGTTCCTTAGTTATTTCTTTTTCTATTTGGGTATAAAAAGGCGACAATTACCTAAAACTAGATTTATTTTGTGTGTTTTTACCATGATAATTTTTATCGCTGCAGCAAAGACTTTATAAGAGTAAATAATCCACATTTTAAGAAATAAAATGTTGTTTTGCTGCAGTGAGTGGAGAGTCTCCTCCCAGCCTGCCTAAGGACCTGACCAGCTCGCTTTCCACAGACATCAGCTTTGATATGGACTCCCAATTCCCGCTGGACGATTTGAAAATCGACCCTCTGACTCTGGATGGCCTGCACATGCTGAACGACCCGGACATGATCCTCGCAGACCCGGCCACAGAGGACGCATTTCGCCTCGACCGGCTCTAATTCCTGCTCACCGCCTCAGCTTTCATTGAAAATCAGGGCCACTCAATCACACCCCATAAAAGTAAGTTAAAGTAAGAAAAAGTCCTGTGAGGAAATTAGCATGGAAATGTTCCTGATTGGTTCCTTTTTTTCCACGCCTCTGATTTCTTTTTGGATCCGTTTTTAGATTCCTGGTTAACAGTTTGAGGGAGCTGGATGACAGCAGAACCAGCCTGAAAACCCAGACAGATTCCAGTACAGCAGCCAGTTCACAGAGCGGACACTGATGACCAGAAGAAACTCAGAACAGGTCCACTCCTCTCAGCCGGGCTTGGTGTTACGCTTTGATCCGGATGGGTTGTAATATATCCCCCCGAGAGGCGCTGAGTCATTACTTTTACTATATTTCTGAAAACAGTTTATCCAAAAAAAATAATAATAATTTAAACAGAAATCATTTGTTATGCATGAAATCATAAATCACTGTGGATACTTGTTTTGCCTTAAATGCTTGACGTTTAGTTTTTCATGCATAAAGAAAAAATAACCCAACAGATTCACATTTATTGCGTTGCAAGTTGCTTGGCCTGCAGCATTTATGTCGTCACTACTGCCTAATGCATTAAACCTGAGGGGGGGGCTGTTTAGTTTGGTAAACACAATGTTTACAAGCTTTGTTTATTTGCTTTAAAATGTGCAGAATGTGGTCAGATTTTTTTTTTGCGTAACGATATCTATGCAAAAGGACGGACTGTAAAAATGGAGCCATTTGAAGGCGACGTGGAGGATTCCTCTGGAACACATGAGGGTGTATTTAGACAAAAGAAAAAAAAAATTCATTTTTTTAAAGGTTTAGTACAGAAGAAAATAAAAAACCATTAAGTAGGGTGGTGGAGGCTGGCTAACAGGTGATGCCTGTCTCTGCCTCTAGAACAGCACTGTTGATGCAATGAGAATGTACCTCGTTTACATCCATGTCTTTGTGTTTCGGTTCTCCTCATTTCCCACTTTTTCTATTTTTTTACTTCCCGTGGAGCCAAATATCTTCCATCTGTTACCTTAAGCTGATTTTTTATCACTTCTATGTGTTTCAAGGTGGGTTTGGTTGTTTGCGCTTCATGCATTTGTTGTTTTTCTTTTTAATGTAATGCTTTGGTGATCAGATTTCTCTGTATGTTGTCCATCTATGGAGTGAATTTTGTTCCATTACAGTCGAAAGCATCTTTTTAGACATAAATTTGATGGAAAAAAAAATTATGAAATGGAAAAAAATTAGGCTTGGAGAGAAATGTCGTTTTTTCCTAGTTGTTGTTTTTAAACAGATTTTATTTTGTTT